TTCAATTTCCAACCCCACAGCATTCCCAGCTCTCAGCCCGTGCAGCATTTTCAATTTCCAGCCTGTGCAGAATTCCCCATTCCTAGACTCTGCAGCATTCCCAACTCTCAGACCCTTCAGCATTCCCAGTTCCCAGACCCTACAGCATTCCCCGCTTCCAGTCCATGCAGCATTTTCAATTTCCAGACCTTTCAGCATTCCCAGTTCCCAGACCCCAGAGTATTCCCAACTCCCAGACCCCATAGTATTCCCAACTCCCAGTCCCTGCAGAATTCCCCATTCCCAGACACCACAGCATTCCCAATTCCCAACCCCTACAGCACTCCCAATTCCCTCCAGCATTCCCAACTCCCCACTCCTGCAGCATTCCCAGATCCCAGTCCCTGCACCGTTCCCAGCCCCCAGCCCCTGCAGCATTTTCAGTTTCCAGATCCCACAGCACTCCCAGTTCCCAACTCCTCCAGCATTCCCAGTTCCCAGCCTGTGCAGCCCTGCAGCATTTCCAGCTTCCAGCCCATGCAGCATTCCCAGTTCCCAGCCCCTGCAGCCCCAATGCCTCCATGCTGCCCCATCCATCCCCGCACCCCAGATTCTCTCCAGCCGCAGCGGCCCTGGTGCAATCTCAGTCAGGGCTTTCTCCCGCCGCTGTTCCTTTGCAAGGTGAAAAGCAAAAGCAAACGAGACTGTTTCAGGCTGTTCCATTAGGGACCCCCTGGAGAACCCGGGTGTCTGATGGAGCTGATTGGAACCACATTTACTCGAGGTGGTTTTTGCTGAACCGGCCTCGCGCCGTGCTCATCATCCCCCACGGCCGGCCTTGCTCTCCCCAATCAGCGCTAATTAGCTGTGGGGGGTTCCCAGCTGCAGGCAAATTCAGGAGGACTGAAACACGACTGAAGGTGATATTTGTTGGCAGGAGAAGCACCTGGAAGAGGCAGCAGCTTTGGAATATCCCAGCAATGCTGCCAAGTGCCCGAGCAGGAGCACAGCATCGTCCCGAAGGCTGGAAGCAACGCTGCTGCCAAGACCCCTTAATGAGCACCTGGGTGTTGTATCATGTGTTAAATATTAAAATGAATCAACACAGAAGGCCTCAAAGCAAAACCAAACCCTCACCTGTGCACAGCAACCATTCCCCAACCCATTGTGGTCAGCCAGAGTTGTGTGGCTACAGCTCGAGGCCCTGGGGTTTCAACCATCCCTTCTCAAGGCTGGTTGTACCTCCAGCTAAAATGAAAACATGTGTTTATTGTTTTTACTTTGGGCAGACGATTAATATTTATGTGATGCATTATCAAACAAAAATAACTATGTATTTTGTTCCTGGAATAATGGTTTTTGTTGGAATGAAGCTGTGCCAAGGAGGGATTGCAGCTGATGCAAGCAGCGTGCAAGGACAATCCACTCACCAGGGCCGCTTTCTAAAGGAAAAAAGGGGCATTTCTGAGCAGGGTAAGTTGAGGAAAATAATGGCTGTGGTGGAATCTCACACTCCACACAAGGAAAATTGTCACCCAGGGCAGCAGGAGATCCTCCGGCTACAGCAGTGCAGGAAAAGCAGGCATGTTGCAAATCCATTCATGCTTACTTTAGATCAAGTCTCAGTTTTACACAAAAATCCCTCACTGCATACATTCTACTTTTGATAAATCACTGATTAACGAGGACATCTACTCTGTTCACAGCAGAATAAACTCTTTGGGTTTCATTGTGAAATTGCTGTTTCTTGAATTCAATTAACCCCTCCAGATTACACACAGACCACTGAATATAAATAGAAGAGGTTAAAATGCAGTTTAAATATAACAGATATGGCCGCAACTCCATATTTAGATATACCCTTTAATTTTTTTCCTATTGCCTGCTTTTTACTTACATTTAAATTTAGCAAAGTAATTTTAGACTGCCACTTTTCTACCTACACTGGTTAACTACACTGTGAAGGGAATATATTAGATTAGATACCACTATCTTCCAAAATGACAAATTTATACAAACTTTTTGGACTCAAACCTCCAGCCAAAAAGACAAAATGCTTGATTTTCCTGGGAAACTTGTGTGTCAGAAAGGGCAGAACCACCCTGGGAAGTAAAAAATATTCCAGTGGCTGTGAGAGCAGCCAGTTGTGGGTATAATGAGAACCAGTGTGGTGTTATCGCACAAAAGGTAATTCTTCCAACCCAAGACAAACAACATTATAATTCAGGCTGAAAATATCTTTACCCTGCGTGAACTTTTTTCTTTTTCTTCTTTTTTTTTTTTAAACAGAAGCATTTTAAATCAACAGTATAGGAAAAGTGCCATAGAAAGCATACACTAATCCCTGGCATCCCTTCCCAGCTGCACAGAAAAGCAGCGGGCAGCTTTAGGCACTCAGGGCTAAGCCTGCCCTGCTGACCTCAGATGATATGGATCAGGCCCAAAGAGCCCTTTCCAACCTTACCCCCTGTCAACAACTTCCACCTCGAGTTTGGGACACACATTTCCACAAAGATTCAAAGAAGTACAGTTTTACCCTTACGGCTGCCTTTTCCTGAAAAAAAAAAAACCTATTCACTTAAAAGAACATTACAAGCTTCCTGATAGTGGAACAAAACTCCAATGCAGTGGATATTCAAGGGAAAAGGTTTGTTTTGACCCAACCATTTTAAATTATTTTGTTGTTACCTGCTTGTAACTCCTGGAGCATTTAGTAAAGCACAGGCGAGGAAAGGAAATGTAACATGTAATGTTTTGGGGCTACCAGATGCCATCAGCACCTCAAAAGCTTCTCACATTTTGAAAAGTTTTTTGATCCTCATGGGAGGAGGAACTGCTGTGTCCAGGGATCACAGCAAAGCCATCAAAATTCAGCCCTGTGCAGAGGGAGAGCAGTGCCATGAGCCTCACGCTGCGATAGCAAAGCACTGGGGGTTTGCAGAAGGAGCAGTGGGGAAGGATTTGCCTCATCAGCAGCCAGGTATTCTGTTCACGGGGTGTTGTTCAAACCAACGGGACTGCCACAGCCATCCCAGGGCTTTCTGTTTGTTTACACAGCTCTGTGCATGCACAGAAAATAAACTTGCCCCAGCAGAGCAGGTAGCAAAGACACTTTCACAGGGCAGGATCTTGTGCAGAATTGTCATTTGAACACCGACAACAGCGGGGTCCAAACTGGCGCTCCAGACAGAAAAGGACCAACAAAGCAGCATCCTTGTGATGAGAGACACAGCTCCCAGGTCTGCAACAATCTGGGATTTCAGCTCGTTGTTGACATCATTGTGAGTCCTCACCGGACTCACACACCCAGATTTCTTTAGTGCCTTACAAAGAACTCAAATTCATTTAAAAGAGAGAACCCCACAGGCACTTCTGCTTAAAAACCATAAGGAGAACATGCTTAGCATACATGTCTATTAGAATCTATCTGTAAGAACTAAATGCTACAGAAATGACAATCCAAAGGGAGCAACACCTCAGCAAAAAGTCCAACTAATCACACCTAGGACTTATCCTGACAGATGATTTACAAAATTCCTGTAACATGTAACTCTATCCAGTACTATATGATTTGTTTAACTTTGGGACTGAATTGTGGGAGGTGGGGACAGATGCTGTTCAAAGCTCTAAACCCTGAAATGTTTTTGGAGCTGGTGGATTTTTTTCTTGCAAACTTTTTCAAAGAATTTGCCATTGTTTGCCCAAATATGCATACGAAAGAGAAAATAAGGACTGATGTTGCTATTCTAATGTACGATATCTTTGTTTTTATAAATACTCCTTAATAAATAGATCAGGCAATCAACATAAAAATATATTTGTCCCGTATGAGGTATAGCTTGGTTTGTGTATGCCTTTACTCATTTACTTCTAATTGGGAAACTATCAAATAATCTGTTTCTCTTCCTTGATTTTCCTATCAGTTCAGGTGTGCCTGAAATTACACACCTGATATAGGTATCCTGACAAAAGTTTACATTTCATACCCCAGTGAGAAGCTGTCTCTGCCTGCTTCACTTGTTTCAGAGAAACCAGGGAAGTGCTCAAAGGGTTAAACCAAAGGAATGTGACATTTCTCCATGTGCAGTTCATAGACCTATCCTGGTTTTCCTAATGGACTCAAAATTACATGGGCAGAACGGGGCAGAATGTAATTTCCAAACTCTAACTTCAGAACAGAGCTAATTCACAGAACGACACTTAGAATACAAATAAAAAACTTCATTAAAAAACGAGCCATTTCCTCGCACCGTGGGCTCTCAGCGAAGGCAGCAATGAATGGAAGTTTATGTTAGCCAGAACTTGCAACTCCAGCTTTTGTAAATACAATTACGTGCACTCCAAACTCCTCAGCGAAGTCATATGGACACCAAAACAGAGCCCCGCGTATCCCTTACTGTGAAAAGCACCAAACCCAACCACGACTCCCCTCAGCCACGTAGGTAATTGAAGCTTTTTCTACGTGCAAGAGCTGCCCGGCTTTTGAAAAGCCATAGCGCTATTAATTAATTGAATGATGAATTGCTGAAAGAATTACAAACGCACCAACTATTACGATCCAGAGCGGGGAAAAGTGATGGCGAGGGGGAAGGCGATATCACTTCTACCCGCAGCCAAACGGCAAATTAATCCTTCAAAACTTGGAGGGACTCGGGCACGGTCCCCGCAGAGAGGGCACGGTCCGCGCAGAAGGGGCACGGTCCCCGCAGAAGGGGCACGATCCCCGCAAAGGATGCGCGGCTGCAGCTGCCGAGCCCTCGGGGCTGCCCCGCTCCAGCCAGGGGACACCCGGCCCGTCCCTGTGCCGCCCTCGGGGTCACCGAGCCCCGCCTGGTCCCTGTCCTGTCCGGTCCCTCGCCCATCTCCCGCCCCGACGGCCGGCGCTGCGCTGGCGGCGCCACGGCAGCCTCGAAGGGAAAGCACTTACCGGGCTGGGCCGGGGTCACTCCGGGCTCCCGGGGAGGGGAGACGGGGCGGGCCGGGCCGGGGGAAGGCAGCGGCCGCCAGCGACGGGAGCTCGGCAGGGAGTGAGGCGGCGGGCAGGGGACGGCGGCGTTGCCGACTGCGGTGAGTCACTTCAGTCGGGACGGGCTCAGCCCATCGCGCTGGCCCCCGGCTCCGGGCGCCTCTTCCTCTCTCTCCAATCGCCGAGCGCGGCCGCCGCCGCCGCTCCCGGCGCTGCCCGGCTCCCCCGCCGCCGTCGGGGCGGCCCCGCGCCCGGGGCGCTGCGGGACCCCCGCCCCCGGTGCCCGCGTCCTCCCCCGGGGGGGCGGGAGGGGCCGGGCGGAGCTGGAGGTGAGCGGGACCCGCGGGGGGAGGACGCGGCCGAGCCCGGCCCGGCCCGGCCCGGCCCGGCGGGGAACGGCAGCGAGAACAAGAGCGCGGTTGTGGCGGGGACCCGACGTGAATCGCAGGCTGGCCCCTGAACCAGGTGGCAATGGGAGGAATAACGGGATGGAATAACGGGATGCTCGGGAATAAAAGGGGAGCGAGGTGAGGAGAGGGGGGGGAAGCAGAGGAGGCTGGTCCGGCAGAAACTGCAGCCCCATCTCCCAGGGGTGATGGAGAGGGGACCCATCCCGTCCGCACTCACCTCGCACGGAGGAAAGCCAGGGAGAAGCGGGCGGTGCGCCCCGTCCTGTCCCTATCCCTGTCCCGTGTCCCCGTCCCTCCCGCCGGCGGCCCCGGGGCTCCTTCCTTACCGGGGCTCCGCTCGTCCCCGCCGCCGCCTCACCCCGACCTTCCCCGGGCACGCCTCGGCCCCCGCCGGGCATCGCCCGCCGCTCTCCGCCCGCGGTCCGCGCCCGGCACCGCCGTCCGCTGCACAAAACCCAGTAGTCCCTTAATTAAAAATAATAATTAAAAAAAATTTTATAAAAAAATAATTAAAAGCGTCTCAGTTTTTAAAGCAGAACTACATAATGTATTAATTGGTTGCTATTAGCATGCAGTTTTATTGAGCATAGCACACAGAAGTCTGATTGTAAGCGAGGAGTGTTTTCAATGAAAGTGGAGTTATTTTAGCTGCAGACATGTTTACATTTCTGTGGTTTAGTCTATAACTTTCTCTTTTTCTTGCTTCAGAATTCTGCTCCATGAAGCAAAGCCCTTAGCTCCCAGACATTCCAAAAAGTCTGCCAAAATAATGGGGGGGGGGGGGAGAGGAGAAAAAAAGGGAGAAGGAATAAAAAAACACACACAGAGACCCCCAAGTCTGGGTCAGGCTCAGGGCTGGGTATGGGCAGAGTGAGTATACCCCCTCCTCACTCTCCCTCGCCAGTTAAAAAGCCTTCAGGGCTCCATTTCCTGTTTTTAAGGAAAAAATAAAGCGGGTCTAGGACTGATTTTAGACACTGCCTAGACCAGGGCTGGTGGGTGCCGAGGACCTTTAACTCTCTCAGTGCCAAAGAGTACCTGCTAGCACACATCCAGGCAAGCCCACACCTCCCTCCCTTGGGGCTGCCCCACCAGAGAGATGGGCTTTTCACCCCAACGTGTGTTTTTGGGTGACTAAGAACCCAAAGATGCCAAGCGACCACCTAGAGCTTGAATGAGCAGAGTGAAGAGATAAAATACCCCAAAAGTGGCGCTGAGTGTCCTCTGCTACTGCAGATCTCCTGGAGTCACTTCTCAGTGTTGGGGACAGTGTTGTCACCACCCCACCTTCCCCTGGATGGGCAGCATCACTCGTGTGGCCCTCAGCGAGTGGGCGTGAAAACAACCCGAGCTCCTGGACGTTAAATCCGCAGCTTTGGAAAATCAGAACGGAGCAGCTCGGCTAAAATTAGGAGCACTCAGTAGTGAATGAAGCACGAAAATTGTGGACGCCTCCCCACAAAAACTCCCGAGTCAAGTTTTCCACTCCAAGGGCTTGGGAGGGTGTGATAGGAATAGAAAGAGGAGTGTTCAGAATAAAGCACCCCTGTAATGAAGGGTTGTGTCCCCAGGGAAGGCACAAGGAGAGGTGGCAGGACAGGGGATGCTGATGGAGTCCCAGCAGCCACACAGGGCACCCTGTCCCAGTCCTGCCCCTCTCCCCTGGGAGGGAAAATTCTTGGATTTGCAATCACCAGGTGAGGCAGGGCAGGAAAATTCACAACGGTGTTTCTTGGCCCCCTGGCTCCCAACATTTGCCTCCCAACCTCATCCAAAGCATTTTTATGTGTGTGTCCCCTCCCCAGACTTTTTTATTTTTACATGCCAGATGACTCCTGTATATTTGGACCTCTCGCTTTTGAAGAAGCCAGAAAGCATTATGATTTCCCAATGCTTAAAAAAGAAAAGAAAACACCTTTCCCCCAAGATGTTTCATATTAATTTAAGTATCGGTTCCTGGTTCATGTCAGCCCCTTTCACAATGAAATGTCCTGCGTGGGCTGTCACACCTGCTAAATATAATCCTCTCATTCTTTTGATATTCTGCAAAGGGCCTTTAAAGGTTCACATCCTCCAGTCTGGAGGTTTAATTGCTTCATCTCGGATTTTTAAGAAGCCTTATAAATTTCTGATTTTGGTGGATTTCAAAGGGGCAGGGGGAGGGATGGGAGAGGGATGTGAGGGTGATGCTGAGCACTGCCCTGACACTGCAGGTCTTGTAGAAGCTCTGACCCTCTAGCCCGTCCCACAGCTTCTGCTCTTTGGGGCAGACAACTTGAGCTGGTTTTATGAGTTACCAATGACTTAAATATGAAAATAGTAGCCTATTTCACTATGGTAAATGCTCACCAGGGAGGAAATCATAGATTCGGTTTTATAGAAGGTAATGGAGTGAGATTACCCACACTAATGTACTTAACTCTTCAGAGAACATAAATCCAGCAGGAGAGAGCCCCAAACCAGTTGATCCCCAAAACCAACTGCAGCCAGCAGCAGTTTCATCCTTACGAGGTGCTGGTGGCACCAGCTCTGCCCAGCGGAGCTGTGGTTAAAAACTCCTGGTCCAGAGCAGTGTGGTGCTTGCAGACTCCAGCAAGGATGTTCCTGGAGCCAGAAAATGCCTGGCAGGGTGGGAACAGGAGGGCTGGGGAGAAATCCTGCACCCCAAATCTTTGTACGCTGCACACAGCAGCTCTGGGTACCACGATGGCCACAAATTCTCTGAAGTGTGATGCATAATTCCTGTTAAATGAGATAAAACAACAGAGAGAGGGACACTGAGTGTACTGACAGCTTCGTGCTGCACCCAGAGGTGGCTGCAGGAACAGTGCCCATGGCAGGGCCCCTCAAAATGCTGTGTTTGCAGCAAAGCCAGTGGGGTCATGTCCAGCTCTCAGTGAGTCCCCATGGCTCCATCTCCTGCATCACCTTCAGAGTTCAGGCATTCCCAGGGGCAGGGGACAGGCTGGCAGCCCCACCAGTGACCAGCACAGAGCTGAGCTGCTGGGCTCCCACATGGAAAGCTGCTCCACTTTGTCACCCTATGCCCAAAAACCCCAATCTTCGCACCTTTTAAGCCCTACCTGTGTGACTAAAATACTCAACCAGTGCTCCTGCAGAATGCAAGCAGTGGGAACACGAGGTAGGAAAGGGTTGTGCTCACCTGGGGCTGGGCTCTGTCTGCAGCAGCACTGACACACCCAGAGCACACAGCCTCGAGCTGCACCAAGGGAAATACAGGCTGGAGAGCAGGGAAAAGGTTTTTCCAGCAAGGGTGAGAAAGTTCTGGAATGGCTGCCCGGGGAGGTGGTGGAGTCCCCATCCCTGGGTGTGTTTAACAGAGCCTGGATGTGGCGCTGGGGGCCAGGGCTCAGTTGGGCTGTTGGGGCTGGGCTGGACTCGATGGTCTTGGAGGTCTCTTCCAACCCAGTGATTCTGGGAATTCTGAGAATTCTGGGATGCTCCAGCCTCCCTTGCTGTGCCACATTCCTGCCACCAGCCCCCCTGCCATGGCCCTGCAGCTCAGTTGCTCTGTCACAGCAGTTGTCCTCAGAGCTGACCCCAGTGTTGGTGCAGGGACAAGGTCCACCCCAAAGGCTCATTCCTGGAGCTTTCTCTCAGGAGGAAATTTCAGAGCAGGTGTCTTCAAGCACTGCCTCTTGCTCAGGAGTGTCGTGGGGAAAGAAAAAAAGTGGTCACGTTATTTTCCATCTCTTTAAACACAGTTTTCAAAATGCAATTTCGAAACAAGCGATAAAAATCAACAAATTGTCACATCTGGATCAAGAAAAAAATCACGTATTTCTTCCAGAGCCATGGAAGAAACACATTTAGGAAGTGGTGCAGCCTCAGTTAATTTTGAGTCTTAATGGCAGAGCTGGAGACTGAAGCCCTTAAAGGATGCACAACTTGCTATGGTTTTAGGCTGCTGCTGTGTTCATCACAAACCCACGTCCCCAAGTGCCACATCCACATGTTTTTTTGCAGATTTCCATGGACAGCAATTCCACCACAGGCCTGCACAGCCCATTCCAGTGCTGGCTTCACCCTCTCAGTGAAGAATTTTTCCCTAATATCATCCTCAGCCTCCCGAGGTGCAGCCTGAGGCTGTTTCCTCTTGTCCTGGTATTTTTTACCTGGGAGAAAAGACCAAGCCCCACCTGGCTATGACCTTCAGGTGGTTGTACAGAGCAATATGGTCCTCCATGGGCCTCCTTTTCCCCAGGTTAAACAATCAATTAATTCACAAAAACTGCAAAAAGAAGTTTTTTTAATGCCAACTTCATAGCATTAATCATTGTAGTTGTTATCAATGAAATGGGATATATGACTGATATTTATTTCTTTTGATATGAAACAACAGGAAGAGAGCACAGATTATTTTGTTTCTTTCCCCCACTGTCAAAATGCAATTCCAGCCCCTGATTTTCTCATTAGAATCAGAAAGGATTAACATTTTACCTATGAAAATACCATTTAGGATGAACAAGTCAGGCAACAAAGAGGGGACACCTTTATAAATATTACCTCTCCCAGGTGTGGGTGACATTCACTAATGAAGGTTCCCTTATGTAAAAATGACATTTAATTCAGGAGAGATAGGCAGTTATAGAGACACCTCCTGTTGCCTGGATGTGAACAGGAAACTCTTTTCCAAGGAGCAGAAATTATGGCTTTTTCCAGCACTCATGGATTTGTTTTAGTCCCAGACTGGACACCTCAATATTATTTTGGCAAAGTGAAAAGACTCTGGTGCCCCTCCTATGAGAGAAACACTTTTAATTAGGGAAGGAAAGATAATTTCTATTTAAAAGCTCTGAAGTGGCAAAAGAAAGTATTTAATTTGGAACTTACCTGTGCAAGTATCTGGTTAGATAATGTGGTTGAGTGAAGGGGATATTGATCACCAGGATATTCAGCATCAGTGACTATTCAGGACTGCTGTGTCAATTTGAAACAATTCACACTCTTTCCCAAGCAATGGGCTAAAAGGAAAGTGAGATAATTTGTTTATTTTCATTTTGGGGTTGGTTTTTTTTTCTGCTTACACTGATAGCTGAGTTCAAAAAACAATATGTTGGCAGGGAAGGTCCAGGGAATGCTTGAAACTCCCATGAATTCAGGAGGGGTTTTATGAGGCTACAAGAAATTATGGGAAAAAAATTAAAAATTCCAAAGTTCTGACCTGAGTGATTGGAGAGCTGGGATGCTTGCCTGAATCCCTCCTAAATATTTTAAATCTCCAAAATAAGGTGAAACTCTTTTTTTTTCCCCTGTATTTTGGCAAATAAGTCCCAAAAGAGAAAAAGCTGAGTATCTGAATATTTCTCCAAAGGCAAACTGGAATAATGGTGAAATAAACTCTCTGTGCAAATTTCTGTGACCAGAACTGAACTCCTCACTCGTTCTCAGTGTGGGCTTGGGGAGAAGAATTTGTGCTTTTTCCTATTTTAACCAAAGCATTTCCCTTCCTCCCTCCAAAGGGGCATTTCTTGGCATCACTGCCGAGATTCAAGGAATAACCCAGCCAGTGAATCAGTGCAGAAAGGCTGAGTGGAGCATCCTTGTAAGAACTGCAAAGTTCTCCAGCCACATGGTGAAAATTAAAAATAAGAAAGCTAAAGCTAGAAGTATTTTCAAAAAAAAAAAAAATTAACAAGACAAAGTTAGGGTAGGTGGCAAAATGTTATAATTAAAAAAATATTTACTGGTGAATAATCTAACCAGAATAAAAAATAAGATTCTGGTGTCATAATAAAAAATAGCTGATGAATAATGAATGAAGACAAGCCTGGCCAAAAATAAAATGTTTACATTTCAATGAAAGCAATTAATGAGTGTAAATACATAAAGTTACTTGCTCATTATTTTCTTATATACTTACATTTTTACATTCTCTTGGATTCCTTGGTGCATGGAGATCCCTGAGGAGGCCATAGCTCAATGAAAATGTAATCCAGTGGAGAATTAATATCCAGATAAGCATCATTTTTATGGGATTTAAACTTCTGAACTATCATATCTCTCTTCTTTATATTATTCTGCTTTCTCTATTTGTCATGACACCTGGAAAAAACTTAAATTTTGCCTTCAGATCTATGGAATTGGTGTTGTTCACACACAAGTGTAAATCCAGCTTTGTTAACAGACCTTCATGAACACACAGCTCTATGAAAGGTGATATTTCTCTATAGTAATCATTTTTTCAGCTATTCCCATATATAATCATATCATTTTATCTTTTATTTGGCTGATTCTCACAAGTTTTCTGCAGCATTTCTTTGTTGCCTGTGTCATCTTACAGTGCACCAGAGAAATGCCTGAAATTACAGTCAGAGGCAGAAGAACAGCCTCCCCCAGGACCTGAAGCTCCAAAAAACTTTGTGATACACGAATGGGAAAAACTTGATTTTCCACAGCTGCCACTCAGCACACACCAACGCAGTCACAGACACACAAACACACATTTGTTTCCACACCTACCTGGTGGCAGTGGTGCAAACAAGTCCCAGAGATGCCCCAAAAAAGCCATTTTTGTGTGGCTGTGCAGGTGCCTGAGCACGCAGAGCTCTGTGCAGGAAGGGAGAGGCGGCTGCAGAAGGTGACTCAGCTGGAGATGTGACACTGAGTCACCCTCTGGAGGAGCCACCCCTACTCCAGCTGCTCATTCCACGCCCTGGAGCACAGGGTGGCAGCTCTGGAGGGGTGAGGGGACACAGGGGCTGTGGCTGATCCTGGGTGTGCCCATGGGGCTGGTGGCACATGTCCTGCATGTCCCCAGGCTCAGCCATGGACAGTTTTAACAATTTTAACAGTTTTAACACTGGCACTCGTTGCTCTGGGCTGGGTGACAAGATGGGCATCACACACAGCTGGGACTCAAGACCTTGGAGAGCTTTTCCAGCTTTAATCATTCTCTGTTTCATCTTTCTTTCAGAGATGGTAAAAAATGAGGATGTTTCATTCAGGGCAGCCCTATGGAGTGGATTAAGTGAAATCTGTTTGTTCTGTCACAGATTTAAAAATTACATGTTGAACCCTGCTGGTTTTTGACTCAAAGCTCCAGAAAACTTTGGGTTATATTATCCCACAAAGAGATGTGGTGTCCTTAATTTTGTATCTGAGCCCTTGAGCTAACTGGAGAACACTAAAAGATGCTTGTAGGTCAAGACAGGAGTAGGCTCACATGCACCATTTATTGCAAGAAAGCAAAGTATTCCAAACATATCTCACCCTGAAATCTGCTTCTGACACCGTGGTTTAGAGCAAAATAAAATTGTAAAATCACAATTGTAAAATTGTAAAATCACGTGTCCTGCATGTCCCCAGGCTCAGCCATGGGCAGCTTTACCAGATGGATGTGGCACTCAGTGCTCTGGGCTGGGTGACAAGGTGGGCATCACACACAGCTGGGACTCAAGACCTTGGAGAGCTTTTCCAGCTTTAATCATTCTCTGTTTCATCTTTCTTTCAGAGATGATAAAAAATGAGGATGTTTCATTCAGGGCAGCCCTTTGGACTGGATTAAGTGAAGTCTGTTCTGTCACAGATTTAAAAATTACATGTTGTACCCCACTGGTTTTTGACTCAAAACCCTAGAAAACTTTAGATTATCCCACAAAGAAATGTGGTTTCATTGGTTTTGTATCTAAGCCCTTGAGCTAACTGGAGAACACTGAATGATGCTTGTAGGTCAAGACAGGACCAGCCCCACATGCACCATTTATTGCAAAAAAAAGCAAACTATTCCAAACATATCTCACCCTGAAATCTGCTTCTGACACCGCGGTTTAGAGCAAAAATAAAATCATAAAATCACAGAAAGGTTTTTGTTGGAAGGGACCTTAAAGATCATCCAGTGCCACCCCTGCCTTGGCAGGGACACCTTCCACTGTCCCAGGCTGCTCCAAGCCCCAGTGTCCAGCCTGGCCTTGGGCACTGCCAGGGATCCAGGGGCAGCCAAAGCTGCTCTGGGCACCCTCCCAGGGAACAATTCCTTCATATATTTAACCAAAATTTCGCCTCTTTCAGTTGGAAGCCATTTCCCCTTGTCCTTTCACTCCAGTTCCTGATGAATTGTCCCTCTCCAGCTTCCCCATGGTCCCTTCAGACCCTGGAAGTTGCTCTGAGCTCTCCACACAACCTCCTCTTCTCCAGACCGAACAGCCCCAACTCTTCCATCCTGTCTCCACAGGGGACCTGCTCCTTATCAATCCCTTATCAAACCCATGGCCTCCTCTGGACTTGCCCAACATTTCCATGGCCTTCAAAACATGAGAATAAGTTATTCAAACCAGCGGGGAAACCCAGGGCACACAGGGAATATTTCTCTGTCTGCTCTGGGGTGCCCTGACCCCCAGGGCAGCACTGACTCTGACCCTCATCCATGGAAAAATTTCCTAAACTTCAAGATAAACTAGAATCCATAAAAGTGTGAAATAGATTATAGAGAGGAGTGTAGGTGCATCACTTGGTGAGAAATTGAGGTTTTGGGATTTTGGTATGTTGTGGATGGCAGCAAGATGGAGGGCACAGGGTGTTGTCCTGGGTTTCTTCTTCAGCTTCTTCTTCCTCCTTCTCCATAGGTTTGGGTGGCATTTTGTAATTGGGCAGAAAAGTGCCCATTGCAGCTCTGTGGGATCAGTTATTGGGTTAAAAGGGAAAATAATCCAGGTGTCAGTTCTTCATTGGATAGTTCAGTCTTAAAAGCCCTTGTAACAAGAGATTGTTGCCATTTTGTGCCTTCTAATGAAAAGCTGCAGAACTCACAGCAGTGAGACTGTTTGGCTGATAAGAAATAATAAACACCTGAGTGTGAACATGAAACACCATCTCAAGTGCCTTCAATCCAGACCCAGAGAAACCCTCAACCCAAGATCTGATTTATTTTGTCAAACTGCACACATAGCAGGGCTGGACATGGGGATTTGCTGGGATGTGGCTCCTGAAGGGTGATGGATTCCCAAGGCCATGATGGTTTTGCTGGAAGGATGAAGAAAGACTTTGAGGTAATCTTGCTCATACATTTTTGGTGACACTCATGAGTTGGATCAAGATCATGGCAAGGCCTTCCACAGTCTGGAAAATACCAAGAGGAATGTCAAGAAAAGGCAGCAGATGATGCTAAGAGAGTGACACAAAACACTGTAAGAACTCTTTTCTACCATTCAGCAAAATAGATGATGAGGATTGGTCCCATCTGGATTAAAGATTTAGGAGATCAATACATTCTTGGATAGACACTCTGTGAAATAGCTGTTAGTGGGGATATGAAGCTTGCAAACACTCACCTCAGCTGCCATGTCAAAATTCTGACCTGATTTACAGCTCAGAAAACCCCTGTTTTAGTGAAATGAGTCCTCATTGTTAGGATGGACTCAACGATTTCAGAGGTCTTTTCCAGACTCTCTGGTCGTGTGATTCTGTGAAACAGGAGGAGGAAAACCACTTCCTGTGATCAGTTTAGATATCAGCACAAGAGAATTTTTAAAAATTGATTTTACTCAAGTGAAAAAAAAAAACCTTTTAATTTTATTTAAAATGTAATTACAAGCAGTTCACAATCACCAAGAAAAGGTTGAATGGGGCTCTGAGCAACCTGGGATAGTGGAAGGTGTCCCTGCCCATGGCAGGGCAGTTGGAACAAGATGATCTTTAAGGTCTCTTCCAACCCAAACCATTCTGTGATTCTGTGATCAAATTATTGCACTGTGTGCTATCATCATTTGGAATTTCAATGAGAGCCCCTTTTTGATCGGGCAGCTTTTTGGCTTAGTTTCCCTTTTTTTAAATTTGAGAAAATATTTGCACCGTTATCTCAAACATTTCAACCATTTCAAAGTTTACCACAATGAAAAATTGGGCTAATGTATTGAAAAGTTTGCTGAAGTAGGTGGATGTTTTTTAATGGAAAGAACAGTTGGTTCTGCAGAAGCATGGGAATTTTTAGCAAGCACTGCATTCAAAAAGGAGTGAAAGTGTTCCTGTTTTTCCAACCAATCTGCCATTCACACAAAAGCAGGCAGAAGGGCATGTTCTCAATGGGACAATAGCCATTTTCTGGAGAGCAAAAGGAAAACATAAAGTGTGGTGTTAGAACAGGAGAGATGAAAAGATAAGATTTAGAAGAAAAGAGCGAAAAAAGAAAAGTGGAGAAACAGCTGTTTCTGGACTAAAACAAGAACTTTTTCTGTAGAAAAAGTGTGTGCAAACTGCAGCAAATCCCAGGACAAGGTGGTGGAATTGCAAGCCTGGGAAAGCCTTGCCTTTTTTTTTTTTTTTTTTTTTTGCTTATATTGCACAAAAGCATCTTTCTGTGGAAACGAGCCCTCTCTGATCTTTTTCATTCTCTTGACGCAGAAATAAAACAACTTAAGAGTCAAATAAAAAGCTGGGAACAGAACAAGCAGTCTGAAACTATATCACACCAGATAAAATTCCCTGGAATTATCTGTGAATTCATTGAGACTGTATTTTATGTTTTGCTTCAAGACAACTGCTTTGTTGAGGAGGTAATGTATAGATTAAGACAGGACACTTAAACTCCAAAGTCCCCTCGGAGAGTTCTTTCTGGTATAAATCTGCTCTCCTTTAACTTGGATTATAAACAAACTCCATGATATGCACCTGGTTCTGGCAGGGTCTCTATTATTTCGCTCCCAAAAAGCAGCTTTATAAAGAGAACACACTGCATTTCAACAGCAATATAAATAATGTTGCAGTTGGGGATCTCTTGCGCCGCTTTCATTTTTCTTTCTTCCCTTTTCATCTGAACTGAACCACACCTCTCTAAAAATACTCACTTTCTTAATGAAAACCATATTTTTGGGCATTTTTCTCTCCCCCCCCCACTTAGTGTGCATGACCTGTTGAAATGCCTGCACAATCTTTAATGTCAGATTCAGACGACACATGTCTTATGAAAAAGTCTGGGACTCAGCTCTCAGCGGGGCCTCCCAGATCTGTCCCACGTCTTTATGAGAAAGAGGGACAAAACCTTCTGGTTTTGGCATTTTATATTGGAGTCTGCTCTAAGCTAGGCAAGAGGGGAAAAAAAAAAAAAAAACAGGAAAAAAAAAGAAAGAAGGAAAAAAAATAGCAACGTAGAGTCTAGACAGAAGAGATTGGGTTGAAATCTGGAAGCTATTCAGTGAGGCTACGGCACATGGCAGCTTGACTGCAGAAAGAGATCACATTACGCTGCCTAATTACACATGAAAAATGTACACATCACTTTTCTTAAATGCTTGGAAAAATAGATGTTCAGATGGCAACTGCGAGCCAGTAACTGAGCCAGTCGTACATACTTGGAACGCCTCACAAATTGCATTTCTAAAGCCTGCAGGTTTTTTTCTGTGTGTGTGTGTGTGTGTGTGTGTGTGTGTGTGTGTTTTTAACAATGTAATTATTGTGTGTGTGTGTGTGTGTGTGTGTGTGTGTGTGTGTGTGTGTGTTCATAAAACAACTTCTAAAAAAGGCTTTCTAAATTTAGCAGGCAGTTGTGCTGCAGGAGCATGAAAGGTGAAAATCCAGCATGTAAGAACAAGGAATGAGGGCCTAATCCTGACTCCTCATGAGCCACTCCAGCCAGCTTTCCTTGGAAGTTTGGGTTGATCCACAGTCTCATCTGTTTGTGTGCTGGGAGCAAATCCTGTGGGGTTTAGACCTCCAATGGGAACATCAAGACAAGCAGATCCCTGGGTATTTGCAGCACCTATGGCCCTGAGGTTGTGTGTTTATATCCTGCCTAGGAAATGTTTAAAAGAGGAGTTTCTCCTTTCTCATGGACAAAAGAGAGGGGAAAATTAATCTCATTTATTGTGTTGTTTGAGCATGGAGCTCTCCTGTCATCGCCTCCTCCTGACCTCGTAGCTCAGGGCTGATGGCTCCTGTTCTGCCCCACTCCTGCCATCCTCCTGCCAGGGATGGGTTAAAGGAATCCAGAGATAAGTTTGATGGAGTTATGCCTTTGTTTCCATATGTTTGGATGACATCTGCTCTTCTTTTTAGCTTAAACACAAATGCCCAAAGACAGGATACAAATAGGGCTTGGACTAGATCATCTCCAGAGGTCCCTTCAACTCTAAATACTCTGCGACTCTGTGCTTCTGTGATTTTGTGACTTCCCCAAGGGAGAAAACAGTTTTCCAAGCTGTTTCCAAAGATTTGCCATTTCAATCCTGCTAACCAGACCCATGAAAGTGAATTTTCCAGGGGGAAACATCCATATGCCCATCTGCCTCCCAGACTTTACATTTCCTAGAAGACTGATCAGAGCAAGCTCCTCCAAGAGCAGAAGTGCCCAATTCTGCCCTCAGTGCCAGTCTGGGTGAGCACAGAATAAAAAATAATCCCAAAGCCCTCTCTGGTAGCCAGGCTCTCCATGTGACTACTCCCTCAAAATGCCTTCAAGTCCTCCCCTGCTGGAGCCAGCGGCCAGTCAGACCTTGGCTGAACTGTTAATCCTTGCAGACAAAGAGGAAAGAACATCTTGTAAAGTTTTGTTGCTGTTGTTATTGTTAAAACGGACTGAGCACGGAGCAACTGGCCAAGCTATCTGGCAAAAGTGACCCGCAGAAAAGTCTTCTTTTCAGAAGGAAAAAATAATGATCTTTTCTGGAGATGGGACTAAGCTTCCCCAGGTCAGGGGGAAGAACTGCACTAATCCAGCTACTCCCAGTTGCAATATGGGTTGTTGAGCTGATTATTTCATCACTATGCTCTGCAAGACCTTCCTTGGATTCTCCCTTTTACAGCTGGGAAAAAAACAAAAAGTGCTTTGCTATTTGCACAGCCTGGGCCTGCTGGAGTCCTGCATGAGAAATATCAGTCACACAAGAGGAAGATGGGCAGAATTTGGGTTGGAAACCACTCTGCTCTGGCCAGGGGCAGCTCTCCTGCAGGAGGGAAGGATGGGGGCTCTGCCAGACCCTCCAGGGAGCCAGGTTTGCCGTGGAGGAGCTGGGATGTGGGTACAAGTGGGAGCCACCACCGCATTAAAGCTGTTCCCCTTTAGAACAGGCAGGAACCATTGTGGGCAAGGGCTTCCTTCCCAGGTTAAGCCTCTGCAGAGGTTTGGAGTGGATGGATGGACAGACCCAGCTGGCCTCTGCTCCTCTGGGTATTTCCCCACGGTGTGTTTTGTGTCCCGCTGCGGTCGGAGGCAGCAGCACCAAACTCTGAGAGTCCTTCAGCACAGCAAGGTCTCCTCTTCCAGAAGGGTCAGCCTTGGGTGTAATTTATGAGGGTTGTGGTAGCCCTGCTACCCTCTGGCTGCTTGTGATGAATTTTAAATCAAGTGAATATTTTGTGCTCGCTGGTGAAGGGGGGGAGGAATGATGGCAGGAAACAAATCGCTTCCTCTTGGTCATTCCTCTCGCCACAGCCACGCTATTTTTAACAAATCTTATTAAAAATTATACAACCCTGTGTTTTCTGGAATCTGTTTTATTGAGCAAGTACAAAACAAACCAAAGAGTGGAAAAATGCACCATTTGGAGCGGCTCCTTTAGCTGCAACTGATTTAGCAAAACAAGCCACAGGGGAACGCGAGCGGCTTTCTAGAGCTGCTTCCTGCGGCCATCCCTCCCTCCCCATGTGGAAGGGAGGAATATTTTACCAGCTGCATCACTTCATGCAATAGTAAATTATTCTAAGTGTTCTGGTCACCACAAAATACACTGTCTTGGGAGGTTATTCCCATTATCAGAGTTATTTGTTTAATTTCTTGCTGCAGCCAGCTTTAAACAGCGTCTTTTCCAAAAATATCGTCCAACCCATGGGTGTCTGCTTAGCAGAAGGGGCTGAAACTGAAAACAGACCCTCCAGATTTGGGCATTTCCTAGGTCAAGGTCAGCTGGGATGAGATTGTGATGGAGGGAAATTCTTCTTACAAATTATTTTCCAGATTCCTGGTCTCTAGTGTGTTACCATCTAGAAATTATTAATAAATTTGGAATTCTTAGGAGCAAATGTGAAAAATTGCTTTGTCTGCAGCTGTGTCTGGTGGCAAGAGGTGAGGCTGATGATTAGATAATCTTAATATCAGTGTCAGCTGTCTGTCCACTCAGGTGTCTTACCCTCACTGCATTGGACCATTCCTTACCAGCCACTCCTCACTTGCAAAGACTGAATCTTGTGCTCAGAGATTTTGTATAAATGCAGAAGACATCAAAGTTGCAAACAAACGTAAATTTGGGCTCTGACCATTCCAAATATTTACATGCCTAACTTGAAATTATTTCAACAGGGTTTAGGTGCCAGAAGATCTTGATGAAGCTTTCCTGGATCAGAAATGAAACTTTAAGGTCACATTATCACAGGTATTGCTCTTTACCATGACATCCTTGGCACAAGAAAGGGATCTTCTTCTGAATTTGCTGTCCCCACCCACAAAATTTTTGTCTCCATTTGTGAAAGCACACTTTAGTGAGTTTGGCTTGGAAGAATCTCATTAAAGGTTTGGGAGAAGGGGCAGGAAGTTTTCTATTTCATCTGTTATACCTTATCACTACCAATAAGAGAAATGATGTTCATTATGATAGTGAGTTAAGTACTTGCCCTGCTCATTTTGTTTAGGCTTCAAAAAATTGCTAAGAAGTACATCTATAACTGATCTGGATCAGATACAATTATTATACAATATAATAAAAAATAAAAGGTTCTGTATTCTTTAAGATCCACCAGCATGTGTCTCAATGTGTTCCTCCTGTTAACCCTAAAATGAATGTCTTCAACCAGATATTTTGTGAGATTTTAGACAAATATCACTGTAATAATAAATGTATTTATTTATAATTTTTATTAGATAATAGAATATCTTCAATCTTTTGACAATGAAAACATTTAGAACATCTTGCTCTCATATCTCTGAAGAAGTACGTCAGAAATCTCACCATGGCACCTGAACATTTTCAGCCCTGGGTAACAAATCTAAAGTAGAAGTTGTCCCATATTTCTCTCCCTGTGGGAATCACAGGTTGTGTGGCTTTTACTGGTTAGGGCTCATTTATTTTTATTTTAGGGATCATAGGATGAAGTCACCTTAGATATTCAACCGTGTATTTTATCCAGAATGTTTTTTCCATTGGTTTCCTTTCCTACAGATCATTCCAGGAGATTTGTGCCTCAATGTGAAACAGATTATTCCTCTCTCAGAGATGTTTGCAATTTACAGTGACTTCAAGAGATAACAAAGCTGGTTGTTTAGGGTTTTTTTAAAGATATTAAGCTTAATTATCATCATTGTTGCTTTCAGGTCACATCCTCAGGGTCACCTCTTCCAGGAGGTTGCTCCAGCACCTGTGACAGCAGCAAACAGGGATCTGTCCTCCTTGGAATTGTGCCTACAGACTGCAAGAGCCTGGATCTGAGTTTAGCACCTGGATTAATCCTGAAGGAAATCCAGGAGGTCTTGAAATAAATAGCTCCTGTATGAAGACTTTCCCAAAATCTGAGATGCATTTAATGGTAAGAGGACCAACATCTGCTGGGAGAGACTCATCCAAAGAACAAGGAAACTCTTGAATCCAGATGATCTGAAGCCTGGGCTGAGCTTAAATGGAGCTCCTGGCCAGTGAGGATGTTTGGGGTAACTGAGGCCTCTCTGCTGACAAGGTGCTGACACTGACCTAACTGCAGGATGGAGGATAAAAAATGATAAAAAACCAATCAAACAAACAAACAAAAAAAAAAACCTGACAGAAGAAATAGCACCATACAGAGCTTCAAACATGAGGCAGAAGGGAAAAGTGGTGAGCAATTCAGCAGGAAAACTGGTTTAATCTCCACCTAAAGGCTTGTTCAGGAGACCTGAGGGTTAGGAAGGAGCAGTGGCCCTTGCAAAGGCCAAAGAGTGACAGCCCAGAGCAGAGGGATCTGCACTGCTCATGGCACGGATCCCACCAGAGTGAGGGAGCAGATCCTCAGCCAAAGGGAGAGCACACCAGGCTCAGACCCTAAATCCCCTTGGCTGGGAAAGCTGCCTGCTACCACCAAAGTCCAAGGAAAGGTCAGTGCCTGAGGTCACTGGCAATTTTGGAATGACAGAAAACCCCACTTAACTCTTTGCAGGCTGTTGCCACCAACATTTCTCCTAAGAAAATCCTCTTTTTGCTGATGCCACCTCTGCAGTTTGGGATAAAACTTCCCATCAGCCCAGAGGAGCACAGGTTCACACTGAGCAAAGGACACCTCTACTCAAATTCTTCTCCAATTGTTCTTCCAGCTCCAAAACAAGGAAAATTTTTGTTAATGTTGGCTGGAATTAAAGGCTTTTGCTGCTTTTTTTTGCATTTGGGATATCTCAGGAGGGCTCCACACCTCACAGATGGAGTCCCTAACAGGATGCAGCAAAGGTAAACAGGCAGAAAATGAGGAATAGCTTATTTAGGTGAAACTGAAGAAGAGCTGTACATCAGGAGGGAAGATCACTCAAGCTGGAATACAGCCAGGACACCAAAGGCAGACCTTTAAAACGTGAGGGGGAAAACCCCCAAACCTTTAAGATCTTCACTGAATGCAGTTGGGAGTCATGGACACGCTCAGTTTCTCCTTTCTACCTATCCTGTGGCAACTTCATAGCCAAGGAAAAGAAAGTGGGGACTTCTGAATTGCTGTGGAACATGATCCAAACTGCCCAGACTCCTGAAGGTCCCGTTTGTGCATCCCCCATGAGAGGTGACAGCACTGAGCTGTGAGGCAGGCTGGGGTTAAACACAAACTGAGTCTTCTTCATTAATCCCTTCCAAATTCTCCTTATGGATATACCCTGCAGGAACACACAATTTCTCCCTGGTAGTGTCTACTTATAAAAGCCTGATATATTTAATTCTGGAAAAAAAGCTGTCTTTGGGTTAAATAAAATAAAAACAGCCTACCTCAAAATCCGAGTTCCATGGTATATAGAAAACTGTGGGAACCCTGTTAAAAAGTATCACTGTATTAAGTTGTGCAGTTGGGTTTCCTTCTAATTTCTGTGTTCTTTTGTCACAATTTAAGGTGAGGACAAGAATGTTTCTCAAACCAGCATTGTGCTGACATTCGACAATACGGGATACACATCCTCGGAATTTTTATAAAGTGCAATTCTTAAATATTATTTTTCCAAAATGCTGCCCAGAGGAGCCATTCTGGCTGATCAAACAGCCCCTGGAACTGCAGTAAATGCTCACACAGCATTCCTGCAAACAGGGCCTCGTATGAAAACCAAACACCGCAGGGGCACTGTGAAACACCAGTTAGCACCTTTATAAAAGCCTGCTCCCGAGGTTAACTGCACTGCAGCCCTGGCAGATCACAGAACTGAGAGCCTTGTACGAGCACAGGGTGGGATTGTGTTAATTTGTCTCAGAGGGTGCAATTGCAATGGTCCTTTCTTGTCTTCGGAGGAATCCTGCTCCGAGACGATGCACGCCAGGAGGGTTTTTATGGGAACCTGCTCCTGCAGGGGGGTGCTCCTGCTTTCACACAGCTGCTCTTGTGCCCTTCAATCTGCACAAGACTGTCTGAACAGGAAATACAAAAGCTCTACACTGAAATTTGCTCTGTGATCAAGTTATCCAAGTGATGTTTCGTCCTTACACCGCGTTGGGTCTTTGGCACGGCAAGATGCCTTTGCCTGTTTGGGAAAAGACAAGGCAAACAGTAAAAGGGCTGAAATCCACTCTGCTTCCTTCCTTTCTTGTGTTTTCTTTTGCCAGCTACACAATATTCTCTCAGAGAAATCTGCAAATCTGCAAGCCATCAAGTGCAGCAGGCAGTGTTTGCTGGGAGCTGAGACGCGGGTTCAGTGGGACTCCCTTCCCAGTGGGGTTTGGATCCTCCTCTCCACTGGGGCTTGGATCCCCTCCCCAGTGGGGTTTGGGTCTCCTCCCCAGTGGGGTTTGCATCCCCCTCCCCAGCAGGGCTGGGACCCCCTCCCCAGTGCTGCACACAAACAAAGTTCCTGCAGGGCAGGTTAACACAAGGCTCAGATGAATCCAGCAGCTTGAGGCTGCCAAAAGGTGTGATCCCACTCCCAGACCTGCTCTGGAATGGACCCTCAGTGCTGTTTTTGGAGAGTGAGATTCTTTTTGTCTTTAAAGAAGGACTGGAATGTGCTGGATCCCAGAAATCAACCCTGCTCTGGCCTGGTGCCACAGCCTGAGCAGCAGGAGAGGGATTGGGATTGTGTCCTTGCGCCCCACAGGTGATTTCCCACCTGCAGAGTTGCCCCAGCCCTGGCCCCAGCCCAGGTAGGAGCTGGAGCTGCTGCAGAGCCCAGAGGAGGCTTCAGGATGAGCAGAGGGATGGAGCAGCTCTGCTGGCAGGAAAGGCTGGCACAGCTGGCATTGTTCACCTGCACAGGAGAAGCTTTGGGCTGAGCTCAGCGTGGCCTTGCAGGGCCTGAGGGGGCCCCAGGAAAGCTGGAGAGAGACAATTGCCAGGGGATGCAGGGACAGCACACAGGGAATAGCTTCCAACTGAAAAGTTACAGGTTTAGATCAGGTATTAGGAAGGAATTCTTCCTTGTGAGGGTGGGCAGGCCCGGGCCCAGGGTGCCCAGAGCAGCTGTGGCTGCCCCTGGATCCCTGGCAGTGCCCAAGGCCAGGTTGGACACTGGGGCTTGGAGCAGCCTGGGACAGTGGAAGGTGTTCCTGCTATTGGCAGGGGGGTGAAACCAGCTGATCTTTAATGTCCCTTTCCACTGAAGCCATTCTATGATTCTATAATTCCCTATTTCTGTGGGAATTCATAGCAGTAGTATGGCCTTCTGCTCAGTGGTGACAGCCTGGGATGGTCTCACGTTGCCTTTGCTCCAAAATTCTCTCATTCCCTGTGGTCAGTGCACCAGGTCCCCTGGGACAGAAGTGGTCATGCTCCAGCAATGAGGAACCCACAGAGTTCATGAAAGTTGAGGCAAAAGGAGGAGGTGACCCCAATTTTCATAGTCCAAGCAACATTTCCTAACCCCTGGAACATCATTCCCCTCAAAGAACAAAAGTCTTTCTCACCTCATCTTCCTCTTTCCACCTTTAAGGCCCCTCATCCTTGCAGGCTTTGGGAACTTTCAGTTTAAATGAGAACTCTGGAGTATCTCCTGCCCTTAGTAAATAACACACAAGCTGATAAATTGTTAAAAAAGCAGCGAGGCCTTGCCAAGAGGCTTTGAGGGTGAGACATTTGTTTTTGGGAAACCCTCTGCTCAGCACAGGCCTCGTGCAGGCTCCATCACACAGAGAAACATTCACTGCAGGATATATTTTTAGGCAGTTTTTCAAGTGGCAGATTTCCACAGGGGTACAGCACTTGTCCTGTGGTAATTAAGTGAACAGAAAATATGAGTCTGGAGCAGGCCTGGCCCGTGGTGGAGGGAACGTGTTACACCCAAGTTCAGGAGAGGAGCAGGGGCTCTCTCTGTGTGGGCTGCACATGGCTGAGCACATTACACACAGATTTGGCCACTACCAGCAAGAAAGGCCACGAGCTTCCCTCACACTGTGTAGCTTTCAGCTGAGCAGGATGCTGCTTGGCTGCTCCCAGACAGGGGAAAAAAGCATGTAGGAGTCAATCACAGGTTGGATTTAAAAGGGGATTCGTGTGACAGCCAGGGAGCTGAGGGGTGGTGGAAAAGATGATGGGTGCCACAGCTCCTGTGGAGCCAAGTTGCACAGATTGGAGTGTGACACATCTCCCAGCTTGGATCTGCAAGGACTCCAGGGCTGGAGGCTGCCCTTCTATCCATGAAAAGCCTGGATAAAAAAACTGGATGTGGCACTGAGTGCCAGGGTTTGGTTGGGGTGTTGGGGATGGGTTGGACTCGATGATCTTGAAGGTCTCTTCTCACCCAGTGATTCTGTGAATTCTGTGATCCAGCCTCCACCTCCTCCTTCTCCTCTGAGTGTTGGTGGGGTTTTGGAACAAAAAAAGGGTGGCTGCTGAGGTGAGTCCTCCAGCAGGGAACCTCTGTCCCTCCCACTGCCCTCTCTCCCTGGCCTTGTGGATGGGGAGCCTGAGCATCCCAAAAGTGCAGGCAGGGCTGGTCCCTTGCTCCTCAAAGCACATTTTGGAGTCACCAGGGATGGATTTTAGCAGGTACCAGAGGGCTCTGCTGAGTGAGAGGCTCACAGAACAGGATGGGAACCCATCCACAGCAAAGCTGCTTGGGTTTTGTTGGTTGTTTTTTTAACAGGGGGAAATGTTGTTGGCTTGGAAAGATCCTTCCCACACATCCTCAAGACAGGGAAGAGTTGGAGTAGGAGTTTTAAAGGCAAACCAAGTGGAACTCAGCCTTTAAAAGTTGTGATTCCTTGAAGAATTCTTGCCTTTTTTTTTTTAGTTCCTTGGATGGTAAATGGCCAGCTGCAGCTCTAGCACCATTCCAGGGCTTTGCTGAGTCCCTGGTGTGGCACTGGCCTGTCTCATACACCAAACACCACATATCTGCTGTGTCCCCTACACAGGGACAATCCATGGACTTGCAGCAGGATGGTGAGAGAAGTTTTCATCATGTCTTGACCAAATCCGATAATTTTACAACAATGCTCATGGGCTCAGTGATGGCAAGAACTGCTCAAACTTCCACCTTGTCCCTTCAGCCACATCCACTTTATTGATCAGAAGTTATGCAGATTTATCTGGGTGTATGTCCAGAAAATGTGAGATAGACCAGCAGCCAGAAACTCGTTTTTAAAATTGGGCAATATTTTGAAATTGGGTATATTTTAAATAGTGAAAATTTCCCACCAAGTTGGGAAACTCCCTATCCCTGGAAATGTTCAAGGCCAGGCTGGATAGGGCTTTGAGAAACCTGGGCTAGAGGAAGGTTCCCTGCCCATGGCAGAGGGTGGAATGAGATGATCTTTAAGGTCCTTTCCAACACAAACCATTCTATGATTCCATGGTTATCACTTCATTTACATTTCTCTTCCTCAGGGAAGAGAAGTATTGTTTGGGATTAAGTATTTTCCTTCCTTATTCTTTATAGTACTTTGTTCACTGCTAATTTTTCTTTTTTCTTTTAACTAACTGAGTCTTCAACACATTTTACAAAGATGTTGAGAATATCATTTATCATTTAGCACATCTGAGTATCATTTACTCCATTGTGCTTCAGTTTCATGATGCACAGGACACATTTATCCAATTGACAGCTCTTCAGGTGAAATGCACCTGCCAAAACCAGAAAATTTCCTTTTTATTTCCAATTTCCTAATTTCATTTTCAGTATTTTACACACACTGCTAGGATGACACTTTAAAAGTAGAAATTAATAGTCAGCCTATCACAATTTGCATAAACAGAGGATGTCTTCTAATTTCTTTAAGTTACACTGTTCAAATTCATGAGGCTGAGCTGTGAATAAATATTTTAATGTGGTGTCCAAAAGTGAAAATGAATCCTACATATACAGCATGTACAGGATTATCTTCTCTTGCTGGTGCTGATGACTCCACTGGGAGGTTGTATGGGGCCTTTACTGTGTTCCTGAATTTTAAATGGAAAAACACCATCCCACTGCAGAGTATTCCCATAAAATCATTTGATAGATAGTAACATAAAAATGAAATTCAGTCTGTTACAGCCTCTTACATAAAAACACAGAGACAAAAGGAAGAGATCAGTGTTTGTTCTTCAGTTCTAACCCTCAGGAATGATGCCACATCCTTAGCTCAGCTGCTGGGGGAGTATTCTATTGCTGAAAATATCCAACACACTGCAGAAACCAAGGAGGGCAAACCTCCAGCTCCTGTTCTGCAGACTGATCAGATCACAAATAGCCAGGGCAGAGACAGAATGAAACCTAGAACCAAACTGCAGACAGCACCTCTTCCCCCTCCATGCCCTGCCAGGAGGGATTTTTTTTGCCCCGTTGTTGTCACAGAAACGCTGCGTAACTCATCACTGCCCCACTTCCCAGAACTGCCATTCCAGAGCCCTGGGGATCCCTGAATGATTCTTGCAGAGCTGCTGCAGGCATGGATTGAGGAGAAATCCATGGAAACTGGCTGTGCTGCTGTGCAGCATCTGCCCCCCGTGTGCTCCGTCCCGCGGTCACCGCGCGGTCACTCCTGTGACACCGAGTTTACATCCCAGCCTGGCTAACCAGGAATCTTGGCAGTGCTCAGAGACTCCCAGCCTTTCCAGGGTTAGACATCTATGCCACGCTGCTTCTTGTTTCAGCTCATTTGTTTTCTTTGCTGTGCTTGCAGCATTAAACTGCTGAGGAGTCCCTTATCGGCGGGACTATTCCCCCGTCAGGAGTGCAGGACATCAGCAGTGACTCCGTGTCTGAAGTTCTCCTCTCTCACGTTTACAAGGAGATTATAAGCATTTTATTCTGCCTCTTTTATTTTTTCTTTTTTTGTGTGTGCTGGAGCTGATTTATTTTGTTTACATTTCTCCCTGATAAATTTTCCTCTCAGTTTCCAGTGGGGATAGGTAAGATTTTCTTCTGCCACCACTGCTCCTGCAGTCTCCACTCCTGTGTCACACCCAGTCTAAGCACTGATTTATTTCAGCCTTAGCAGCAACAGGAGCTGAGCTCAGAGCAGATCTTTTGGGGCAGAACCATGACTATTTCAGCATTAGTTAAAGGCCAAAGCTCTGG